TCCGCCAGACGCACTCGCTCCCATTGGGGGGGAACCCCGGAACCTGTATGGCCCATACCACTGACTCACCGCGGAGGGGTGTTACTTATACAGAGTCCCGGGCCCCCCTACACACAATGGCAGCAGCTCCCACATTCTTCCCCTCAGAGGAGTTGGACTGAACCATGGGGCGGCGGGGGCACGGCCCCCCTCCCGGCCTCCGACAGAACCCGCCTGGCCCTGGGCGATACCACTCCACGCTCCCCCATCTTCCTTCCCCCCGCCCGGGTAGATGGACGCCGCCGCTCTCACTCACCTCGGCATCCACTGTGGCCATGGCCGGAGCCCCGGAGCGTAGCCCCGCCCCCTCGGCGGCTCCTCACGCCTTGGCTCCGCCCCTTTCCCCTCATTCTTCTCAATGGAGACGCTCCGCCGGCCACCGCGCATGCGCGCGGCAGCATGGCGGCCCCCGCGGGGCTCCTCTGGCCGTGCGGCGTCATGGCGGCGCCCGTCAGGCGGCTGCCGTACGGCTGGAGCGGGGCTGGGGGTGGGCTGAGGATGGGGTGAGACGGGGACAGGGCAGCCATGGGGACAGGGCCCCTCGCTCCCCACGCACGGCCTCGCCGGACCCCCAAACCACGGACTCTTCACTCTTGGCACCGAGAGCCCCCGAGACGGCGGCTTTGGCCCCTCGCACCGCGGGTTTTGTCCCCCACCCGCGGCCGGTCCGGCGCTGCTGGGGGGCAAGAGCACCAGCCGTTCCTAACGGAGAGATGACGAGTTGCCCGAAGTGTCAGCAGAACCCCGCCGCGACAGCGCCCAGCGGCAGCGCTTGCCCCAAATCCGAAACAAAACCCGTGCAGGAAGATCCCAGAGTCGGAGTCCCTCCATCCTCCTGCCAAAAAACTACCCTTTGAAAAGCACCTCCTGGTGGAACTTCTCCCACTTTTGTGTTATTTTGATGCGTGCAAGCTCTCAGGAGTCCGTCTTGGCTAAAGACGGGGATGGACGTGCGAGGGAGGAGGAAGCAGCTCTCCCCAGTCCTGCCCCAGAGGGTCGGGGGGGGGGGGGGTGGGGGGGGGGGTCCCTTCCAGCCACTTCACTCCCTTTCCCACACCCCTAGCACCCACAATAGCTGCTTTCACCTTCCCAAATCTCACGGGGCCCCTCCTAATGCTCAGGCCCATAAATCCATGATTCCAAAACAATTAGCTCTTTTACAGCTCTTCGGTAAAGCAGAAGATACTGCAAGGGGGGAGATAAACGCCTCCAAGGGCTCCTTTAGCCCCACAGCTGCTTCGGCTGCCACCCAGGGTAATCACACCGGCACCGGGGAGACGCAGGAACAGGCAGATGCTGCTGTACCCGCCTCCCCGGGCAGGGGAGCACTTGTTTCTTGGAGGGAAAGGGGAGCTTTCAAGCGCCCTGACGTCAATTTACACATGTATTATCAGGAGGAACGACGTTCCCTCCCTTGGCCTGCAGCCCCACGCCAACATGGCGGGCAGACGGCTGCGAGGTTTCGTTTGCTTTGCGGCGAGACTCTCGCCCTCCAGCACCCCGAGTCGTGCGGGCAGCGGCTGTGAGGGGCCCTGGCCACCATCTGCTTCTGGCCGCTTTCTCCAAAAACCCTGGCCCGCTGCTGGGTTCACATCTGGGGTTACCACCGCTCTCGTCCCGACACCTTCGCTGCACGGGTGCTGCTCCGTTAGCACCCACGGGGCGGGAGGCCATCGCTGTGTCAAAAGATGCACTTATTGAAGCCAGGAGGACGTGAGATGGCAGAGTGTGCCGGTGCCCGCACGAACCCGCGTAACTCAGGATTTGGCCCCAGTTCTGACAACAAAGTGACCTCGGCGCTGCCAGACCCGCACCGGGGAGCCCAGCACGGGCCACGCGCTGCCCTAACTCCTCCGTCGAGCCCCGGCCCTCGGCCGCCCCGCCGGGCTGACAGCCCCGAGCCCCAGCCCGGGGC